CCCAAAAGAAAAACCCAAAGGGTACAGCGCAAGCGACCTCAATTGGAAAATTATGTATCTAGACAATTTTATAGAGCTGGGCTACGTTATAAATGTAATGGGCTAAGTACGGGATGTGGCTTACAAGCCGCAATGACAGAACAAACCCCTCTAGCTGTGTCGTTAGAAGACTCAGGCTGTTGCTTAACCCGGGCTTCAGACATCCGGATGATCTCTAAATTAGTGGTGGGTGGGCGTTTGGGTTTTCGCAGCACCGACCTGATAGCCTCGCAATTGACTTATTTTCTGGGTTTGTACAATACCTAGACCATAAACTGTCCAAATGGGTACAATTTATGCAGCTTGCTAAGCTACCAAAATAACCATAGCTCACTTTAACCGAGATCAGCGGGTGCAAATGCGGGTGCAAATGCGGGTGCAAAGCTTGTAACCAACCTGGTTAGGTGTGTTGTGTAGACACACTGTTGCATCTTAGCCTGTTGAACCATACTGTGTTTTCGTATAGCATATATGAACATGGTGTTTTATGGGGTTGACCATAGTTTATGGTTTAGCATGTAGGCACGCAGGTGTAGATCCATACCTCAAGGAAACAAAGGTGTCTCAAAATGACACGAATCTGTAATTGTGGGGTAAAACAACTATTTTGCAGTATTGTAATCTAAAAGGCAATAGTGATTCCAGAAAATCCTATCTTTCTTTGGAAGTGGCATCAAGCCAGAAATTATGTCCCAACATTAATGCTTCCCTGTCAGATCTAAACTGCAACTTACAAAATTCTAAGGGTGACTGAAATTGAATAAAAATGCGGGGAAAGTCTGACTTATTTTAACAGCATGAGTTTTGTAAATTACAGTGTACTTTGTTGGACATTGGAAAGAATTGAAAAGAATATAAGCTATCTGAAATTATCAGAATGATATATAAAATCTACCTTCCCTTAAGCCTTCACAGGAAAGATATAGGTGTTGCATTATGTCATGCTCCCATGTATGGGGCTTTATATCACTTACCATATATATCCCTTCCTGAAACTTCTGAGAGTCAGGATGTGGATAGTTCCTATAGATCAGTGTTTCTCAACCTCAGCAAGTTTAAAATGCATGGACTTCCAACTTCCATGCTGGGCCAGCATGCTGACTCGGGAATTCTGGGAATTAGAAGTCCATCTTAAACTTGCTGATTTTGAGAAACACTCCTATAAATAATGGACTGCATATAGTCAAGTCATCTAAAGTGCAAAGGACCACGAGTTCAGTTTCTGGTAGAGAGTTTGAGCCCCATAGAATAAACTGGTTACCCATGTCTGATGACTCCACATGTCTGATGATACTGGTGATGTAGTGCCCACCTTCTGGTGGACTAAGTAACCATAACTGTTTGAATAAGTCCAAAAGTTAAAACACTATTCACTCTGCTTAGCATGTTCCTTTTGCAAAAATCTCAGTGCAGGCATTCGCCTTCACACAGATGTAGTTGAAGGGGTATGTATGTTGTGCCCCTAAATAATCCTGCATGCCTGGGTACCTCTTAGGGCTTGTCTACGTAACTTGCTAAGAACAAAGGGAGATACCTCAGCAAACATTTAGAAGACAGACAACATTGTGCTCAACTAACCCCTGACCCAATGAGAAGGAAGCCTGAAATTGTCTTTTCCTACTTCAATTGTAAAAAGTTGGTTTCCAGCTTCTGTAGTCCAGTCCATCTGAAGTGCATCATACCAAGGTAAGGATAGGGTCAGAGGCCTGCCATGCTGCTGTTGTCCACCGCAGCCATGTATCCTCTATATCCCTGGTCACTGATTTTCACAGCTATTTGTCTTTTGGCAGCAAGAAGATCAGGACTCTTCTGCTGTATCCAAAAGCCATCTCTTCCTCTTCTCTTGCCAATCCATAGGTGGAAACAGAAGTGGGAGAGAAGGGTGAGAAGGAGATCTTTTTGGTGATAAGTCTCCTGGCATCAAAAAGACTCAGTCCCCGCCTGGGTTATAACTGCCCCCCCTTTAACATCCTAGATATGCAGCGCCTAGACACATACCCATCAGTCAAACACTGGACTTCTGTGGAAAAGCCCCTGCACATGCAGCTTAGGCCTTGCACTGCTGAACCTGGGGTGGGATGGGGTGGGGTGGGGTGGGGATTATATGGGAGGGGAAGTGGTTCTTCAGCAAGGTTAGGGTTAGGGCCTGTGGTCAAGCCATGGGCAGTTTCCCTACCACTGGAAAAACAGTACTTGAGCTGATTCCCCCTCCCCAATAAAAGCTACTAATCCCAACTTGGGGCATCTGTGCAAGAAGCAAGGGAAGGAGAGAGACTTGGTGGAAAACACCCAATAGGAGAATGGAAGTGATGGAAGCAACTCTTCAGCCAACACCCCACTGGAAGGAGAGTGAGGATCTGTTTCCTATAATTGTGCCCGTTTCCTGCTGCACTTTACCTGTGCCCCCCATGGCAAGAGAAGGTGAGGAATGGCTCTTTTCTCTCCCCCACCAGTGGCAGGAAAAGCAGAGGGAGAGAGAATATTGGGGGGAGGGAATGTGGGAAAACAGTTGCCAGTTCTCCAAGTCAGTATTGAGGATCTGATATAGGGATGTAGCACCAAAGGACCAGAGGTGTTTCCTACCTTCCCTCTCTCCTCCCCTGCTTCTTTTGCAGGTCAAATCCCTATTTTCCAACTCCCAAGGCAAAATGACAGTTGGAAGCCAGTTAATATTAATATTCACTTAACCCTTGTTAGGTTATCTGTGGAAAAGTTCAACTATCCCTATGGGAACAGGCTAAACTATAGTCAATAAGCTAGAAAAGCCACCCAGTGTTTAATAGGTAATCATTATAACTCAATAAGAAATTTGCAGAAACTAAAGGAATAAAGTAAATTGAGAGACAATGACACCAGATGTTACCAGGAAAATCTCTGCTTGCAGAGAAAATAAAGGTTAAAGATCACTGTGTTCAAAGTTCAGTTATAAAACTATTGACTTTTACAAATGTGTTCTGTGTACTTGTCTTTTACATTATAGATTAGAAAAAGAAGGGGAAATACCCAAATTGTATTATTTGTATTATTTCATGAAAAAAGGCTTAAGATAAACTCTGGCACAATTGGACAGCAACTTAATCCCACAGATCTTCAACTACAAACACTATGGATTTCTTCAAGTTTATAAGATCTTGTAGCCCCCTGTATTATAGTCATTTTATGAAGAGTAAAATATGTAGAAGAGTATATCGGAACAGGTGAAGCTTATATGTTTCTAATACAATAATGGTGAAGCCCAGAGTATATGATTGCACACCTGGGTCAATAGAAGTCATTCATATATTGTGCTGGCTTTCCCCAACTGGTAATCTCCAATACGTTGGAACTACAACTCTGAATTCTCAGCCAGCATGATGCTTGCCTCAGTTACTTCTAGACAGTGATATGTTTGAAGTCTTCCAGCATTATTTAAGTCAGTTTCTGCAAAAGGAGGTCATAGGAGACTTTCAATGTTTCAATTATAGAAAGCTTATTTATACAACAGTGTAGTCTGAGTGTAAAATGAGATTACCAGCATTAACACTCCAATAGCCTCCTGTTTTCCATTATACTTTTAGGGAGTGTTTTTCAAACTTGGCAACTTTAAGATGTGTACCCTTCAGCTCCCAGAATTCCCCAGCCAGCATTCTAGGTTCCCCTAGAATGCCCTATGTCCATTCAGGTAACTTTAAGAAAATAACTCCTAGTGCCAAATCACAGTTCTTGGAATAAGGAAGGAGAAGCTTTCCAGTAAAATCCTGATTCCTTTTTAAATCAGCACCATTGGCTATAAAGCAGGAGAAAGTCACTTTTTGTTGTAGAAGCTGCAAGTAACATTTGGGGCTAAAGGTGCAAAGAACGGAGGGATGACAAAATATGAAAAGGCTGTGTCACAGGCCCAGGCAACAGCAGGGCTTTCTATCCTCTGGGCCTAGAGTGATGTTTTGGGATATTTTTTCCTTTGGTTTTTCACAAAGGGCACCTCAAGTACAGTGACCCTTGATTTTCCACCTTGCAATGCAGCAGTATTCACATGGAGCACATCACACCCAGGATCCATCTAATTCAGCATTTTGCTTCCAGTAGTAGTTAGTGAGAAGCTTTGGGGAACTACACGGGTTAGGCCATGCTATTTGCCCTGCATTAATTATTAGAGGAAAGCTTCTGTTGACCCTCATAGTTTTCTATTAACCATCATAATTAACAATCTGAGCGCAGCTGCAGACCTTCCTACAGTGTCAACAGTGTTCAAGAACTGGGTCATTTCTTTTTGACCTCACTCTAGTGTATTTGTCATTGCATTAAGAATTTGTAGTTTCCTTTGGCAATACTTTGGAACACCAAGCTTGCAAGTGGTCTGATTTTCCCATGGGTGAATTCTTGCCTCACTCTTTTATTTAGCTCCTGAACAAAAGGCAACTATTAATCCCACCTCCACTCCAAAGCTACAGTTTAAAACACATCTCTGAAGAAGTTCTGTTTCAGAAGTGGTCCCCTGAAAAAAAAAAACACAGCTTGGTGTTTTGTAATGGGCTGGTCTGATGCCAGAGAAAGGGCAAATGGAACAGAACTTTTCAATGCCATTGCTGATAGTTTTGCCTGGGTTATTGGGCACCAAGGAGGAGTTGTAACAGAGGCATCAGAGAGGCAAAATGTGTGTCGTGACATT